GTTTTCTCTCGGTGTAGTTTTAGAGGAGTCGTCATATTCTCATTTGTGTGTGCTTGAGATCACTGTTTTGTATGCCCGACAGGGCAATGAGAAAAGAGAGCTTTTCTGTTGTTATTTGATTAAGTTTCCTTCTCTCTGTGTGCTCCCCTTTTGTGAATCCTGACCATATTTTTTCTTTTCTTTGTGCCTGCGGAATGACATTTTCTTCCCAGTTCCGACCGGGTCTTGCAAACTCCTTTTGAAGGTTGGGTGATGGCAATTGTGAGTTGCTGAACTAAAATCTGATGGCACAATCTAATCCTGCGATAAGCCTATAATTACTCGTCGAAAAAAAGATCCCCTTTACTTGTGGATGTTTAGAAGTTGACACTCCAAATTACTCTTCAAATCCATTTCAGGTCATGGCCCTTCTGAGTGGTTTTGCTGGAGTCTACACTGAGGTAAATATTTCCCTACTATATATGGAAGTATGGTTTTTGCCGAAAAAGGGAAAAAAAAAATAAAATAAAATAAATCAGTCAATAAAATTTCTCGGCCAATATTTTCCCATTCGATTCATCTTATTTTTAAGCTAATGAATACCATTATTAGAATTCTTATCAGGATCTTTTTTATACTATCAATATTGTTAGGTGACAAGATAAAGTGGACCCAGCTTGCACTGTTTTTGATAACTGATGTCATTTCTGCTGTTTTTGTAGGCTATCATTAAAAAGCGGCCTTCGAGGAATATTAACGTGCAGAACTTCTGGTTGTATGTATTTGGGATGGCTTTCAATGCTATTGCCATACTGGTTCAAGATTTTGATGCAGTCATGAACAAGTAAATTGACACTGCTTTTGCTTCTGTTGTTTCTCTTATTTATGCAAGAGACGGCTTTTGGCTTCTGTTATTTATGTCAACAATACAAGAGGATTGATGATTTGTAATAAAATATTTTTATCCCTACATGTAACTTCTTAAGCGAGCAGACTCAATTTGTATTGAAATATTTTCAGCAAATTTACAACATCAAGATTACATTTTGTTATGCTAGATTGATGATTCTACAATTTTATACATGATATGTAAGTTTCTCTTTTACTCCACAGGGGATTCTTCCATGGATATTCTTTAGTTACAGTTCTCATGATTTTGAATCATGCTTTGAGGTACTTATATCCTTTAATGCTGTCTTGGATTGACTTGCCTAACTGGTAGAATATTGATAATCATCAGTTATGGGGGCCAAAGGAAAAATTATTACTCCTTAGACAAATCTAGGCTTGTACTGGGAACCTCTAGTTTGCTTTCACAAAAATAAAAAGTTCTGGTTTAAGAAATGAACTTCCATATGATTCCGGCCTCTCCTTGGAAGGGCTTGTGCATTTTACTAGCAATGTCTTCTCGTGAACGATTCATATTTTTGCTATTTGTTTGTATTATTACTTTTTTATGCATGGTGTTATGTCTTGGGAATTAATTAGGATTAGTTATAAACCTGCTGCTGTTTGGTGCTTTGAGCTAAACCCCTATATCAGTTAACTGTAAACGATAAAGGCCTTCATTCGCAATTGAATGACTACACTATGTACTGGGGATGATGAACTGGACATGGACCTAACTTTATTTACGTACTCTACATATATTATTTCCTGAATCATGAGATAACTACAATTAATCTTGTTTCTTTGAAATTGAGTTATTGATAATTCACCTAAGTTATATTATGATGTTAGTTACACGTGACTTCAGGCTGATTAATCCTTCTGTTTCCTCTATTACTGTAATCTATATATTGATATTTTCCTAGACAATATGTGTTTATGCATAGGGGTAAATATAGCCCTTGTTGTGATTTCTTCCTTGGGCAGGCCTGCCTTGTTTAAATAGGGGGGAGTGAACACGGGGAATTGACAATATGTGTTTATGAAAAATGTTTACATATTC